CTAGGTTTAGGAGAGGCCAAATTCCGGCTTGGAGATCTTGCCGGCGTTATGGGGGAGGAGGATTGACCCTCCTCCGTGCTGGATCTGCCTCTTTCTTGCTGTAACCCTATGTGCAATTTGTTGCCCTGATCTCTTTTAGGTGTTCTTGAACCAACATAGCCAATCTCCTTCTCTCTTGGGTCGTGTGTTGATGAATTCACTTTGGACGAAGCAAGCGAGAGTGAAGATAACAGACGAATTACATTGTTTTGAATGGCTTACATTGTTTTGAATGGCTTGTGACCCCACAGCTTGATGAAGGCCTCGAACCACCAAATTTCTGATTACCCTGAACAAGAAGGAGCTGCTATGCAGAGCCAAGATAGCAGACTGGGGTTCTAGTTCTTCCAAGGCTGTTTTGATCTTAAAACAGGAAACCCGATTCTACGAACCTAAGGAAAGGCTGCAAAGCAGTAGTAGGAGCGTTAAGACTGGAGCTTTTGGTAGTTCATCTGATTAATTTATCCCTTGAGTGGCTTACCCGAGAAGTTGGAGAGAGGGTGGCTGAAAGCTTCCATGAATGGGATGGAGTAGAAATTTGACATTTGCCATCTGGTGATTCATTTTTCATTCGAAATTTTCCAAATAATTGGTGAGAGCTAGACACTTTTTTCAGGACGCTTTGCTCCGCCGCTTCAAGAGACTTTTGTACCCCGGCACTGCAAATAGGAAAAACAACAGCCAGAGTCACAAACTGAAAACTCTACTGGAACAGAAGTCTTTATATCAAGATAGAATGCCTTATAACGAGCTCTCTCTCTGGCCACGTTACGTTAGGTGTTAAAGTGATAAGTCTGTATCTTCTACTGTAGCAGGTCATTTTCAACACACTTAATTCGTGTTTCAACACATTTATTAAAGATTTCAACAGATTTTAAACGGGCAAAATAATGTGTTGAAACATGAAGTAAATGTTACCTTATAATCAGTGTTCACAAGAGCGAGAGCACGTTTCGTGATTATGTAAAAGAATTCTCGGCATTGAGGGTTACTCGGATGAATCCGAAGTTATTGTGCCCCACAGTCCCAATTCCATATGCAAGTGCATAGAGAGCAAGTCCTAAGGCTACATTCTTGAAGGGCCGTAGCGTTGATGTTACTCTTTTAAATCATATATTCTTTGTTTGCTTTCAGGCTGTCTCTGGTTTGAAAGTCAACGTGGGTAAGAGTGTGCTTGCCCCTGTGGGGGAGGTTCAGGAGGTGGATACTCTGGCCGTTGCTTTAGGGTGTGGGACACAACGTTTCCCTGTCTCGTATTTGGGTTTGCCGCTGGGGGACTCGGCCAGGAGGGTGGGAAGTTGGGACCCGGTGATTGAGAGGGTCGAAAGAAGATTAGCTGGTTGGAAAAAGCAATATCTCTCCAAGGGTGGTAAAGTTACGCTAGTGAAAAGTGTCTTGTCAAGCCTTCCAACGTATTTTCTTTCGCTCTTTCGGGTTCCAGCCTCGGTTGTTGGCCGTCTGGAGATGTTGCAACGTAACTTCCTTTGGGGGGGTCGTGGAGAGGAGTTTAAGTATCATCTTGTTAGGTGGGAGCAGGTTTGCAGGCCTCTTCAGTTGGGCGGGCTTGGGATTAGGAGATTGGCCCCCTTTAACAGTGCTCTCCTTGGTAAGTGGCTTTGGAGATTCGGCAGTGAAAGGCATAGATTATGGAGAAGGGTTATTTCCTGTCGCTTTGGGGAGGAGAGAGGGGGGTGGTCAGCTAGGCCAGTCAGGTCTGCTAGTGGAGTAGGGGTGTGGAGGGCCATTGGAAAAGGATGGGACGAGTTTTCCAAACATGTTAGATTCAAAGTTCGGGATGGAAGGTTTGTCCGGTTTTGGGAGGATCCCTGGTGCACGGATAGGCCTCTGGCTCTTTTGTTTCCAAGGCTATTCAGGATTGCTTTTGACAAACATACTATGGTTGCTAACTGCTATCGCCTTGATAGCGGGAGGTTATCTTGGGATGTGCGATTCCAGCGATCTTTTCAGGATTGGGAGTTGGATGATGTCACTGGCTTGTTGGCTTTCTTATACAGACAGGATGTGGAGGGCACCGGTGTTAACTCCCTGTTTTGGGTGCATTCTTCTCAGGGGATGTTCCAGGTCCGGTCTTTTTTTGTATGCCTTTCTGGTTTTCATGGCGCTTCCTTCCCGTGGAAGATGGTGTGGTTGTCTAAGGCGCCTCTTAGGGTGGCCTTTTTCGTGTGGACTGTAGCTTGGAGCAAGATTTTGACTTTGGATAACTTGAGGAAACGAAGACATATTATTGTTAATCGGTGTGGTCTTTGTAAGTTGAATGGGGAGTCAGTGGATCATTTGTTGCTGCATTGTCCTGTGGCTCATGATTGTTGGAGTCTCATTTTTTATTTGTTTGGTATTCATTGGGTTATGCCTCGGACATCTCGGGATTTGCTGGATATTTGGAGGGGCCAATGGGTGGGGGCTCAGGCGAGAGTCTTCTGGAGGGTAACCCCCTTTTGTGTTTGGTGGAGCATTTGGAAAGAGCGGAATAGAAGATTTTTTGATGGGAAGGAGGCCTCCATTGGGGTGTTGAAATTCTCTATTATTTGTACTCTTTTTTGTTGGGGTTGGGGGAGAGATTTTTCCTCCATTGAGGATATTGTGGACTTTGTGGGTTCCTTGAGATCATAGTTTCAGTTTTTTGTATAGCTTGGGACGCGTTCCCCTTTTGAACGCCTTTTATACATTTTACTTATCAAAAAAAAAAAAAATCATATATTGATATATAAACATGCATTATTATTATTATTACAACGCGTCATACAATGAAGTATGAAAAATTGTAATGGAACAAAAACTAAGCAAGGCAATTTAAATTTTTGCCAGGAAGGTACATAATGGAAGCTATTTACTTAGTTGAAGAGTGTAGGAATGAGCAAAAAAATCTACATATGGTTTTCATAAATTTAGGAAAAACATATGATAGGGTGCAGCGAGAGAGAGAGAGAGAGAGAGAGAGAGAGAGAGAGAATCTGGTTGGTTAGAAACAACTTTCTATAGAAATGATAGAAATTATTTAGGATATGTATGTAAATACAAAAACTAGTGTTTGAACTACATGTGGCGAGACTTGTGATTTTTCTATAAACACGGGATTACACCAGGGGTCAGTATTATGCCTATATATTTACAATAATTTTAAATAAAATCGCAAAAGAGTTGTAAGGAGACATTCCACAGTGTATGTTGTTTTTCGATAGAGAAATACATTAGAACCAAGAGGTTTAGAAATTAGTAAGACTAAAACTGAATATATTGAATGTAAATTAGTGAAGTCTGATATTGACAATATAATGAGCACATTTCAAAACCAAAGGATTATCCACAATGACCGTACTTAAGATCAATAATACAGGAGGATGGCAATATAAAATGATGATATAGTTAGTAGAATAAGAGCAGGTTGGACAATAAAAGAATTACAAATAAATTAAAGAAAATTTGTAGAACAGTTATTAGGCCAACTATTTTATATGGTTCAGAGTGTTGGGTACAAGGGCTCCCCCCTATTTCTTGTTTCATTTTCAATTGGCTATAATCTGTTCTACCTTGAAGACCTGAACTAAGAGAAAGTTGTAAGACTAGTCATTGCTATTTTCTGCTAAGAAGCTCAATTCACCACCTTATAGGCTGCGAGTCAAGAGAAAGAGAAATTCAATCGGCTGGGAGACTTGTCCTAGTCCAGTCCTAGTACAGTTTTAGCAGTAGCAAAATAGTGCTGAAACACCCAGTTGCAGACCATAAAATCTAAATAAACAAAAAGGAAAAGGAACCATTCTCTGGAACTAAACCATTATTATATGATACTGACAAAGAAGGCATGTCAACAGGACCACGTAACACTCGATCTCCGTGTTGTGTTAGTCACCCTATCCTCCAGTAGCTGAAGGAGGGTTGAGAGTTGGACCTGCACGAATGGTGTAATGACTGCCTCGTGTTACAATAGCTTACATCTTCATCTAAAATAGCTAAATTCAGAAATGAGGAAAGCAGACTCAAAAGGGGTGAATAAGCACATCCTTGAGTTTCACCAAAAGAGGTTCACGGCTCCTCATTGCTTACTTACACGGAGAGGTATTGAAGCTACGGGAAGGCATTCTACATTAGATTGGTTGTATCGTAAAGCAAATGATTTCAATAGAAAGGATATCGTTTTGTTAAGGAAGTGAACGTCTTCTCAAATTTTACCAAGAATATCAGCTGTTTGCCAACCCAAATCTCCTGAGTAGCATGACCTTCATGATGCCGAGAACGGGCTGAGCGCAACATGGAATGAATTCTAAACAAGAACTACGAAATCATGTAGCAGAAATGAGGATGTTAAGATGGAAGATAGGTATGAGTCGCGACTAGAAGGTTACTAATCAAAAAGTGAGGGAAAAATTAGGGGTAGCACCTATTAGTGATAAAATAAAAAGAAGACTCAAGTGATATGAATATATATGAAGACGATTTATAGATGCGCCAATAAGGAGAGGAAGACTAATTTACACAGAAGGTTGGAGACAGAGAGGGCGACTCAAATTAACATGATAAAATTATGGAAAATGACTTTTAAAAGTTAAATATTACAGGAGAGATGGCTTGTAATTAGAAAGAATAGAAAAAAAGGATTCATGTGGCTGATCTGATTCATATGGGAGTAAGGCAAGGCCGCAAGGATGATGATGATAATTGTTGTTGTAGTAGTTAGTCTTATTGTTGTTATTAATGTTGTCTTCTTGTTGTTGTTGTTATTATTATTATTACTTAATTAATTATTTTCCGGTAAACACATAACAGGTCATGTTCACTTACCATCATTTTATATGTTCTACTTCTACACTTGTTGGTTTCTTTCCTATCCATATTTCAGCGGAATCTCAACATTCTGCATATGTGACTGTCCTATTTTTCTCTTATTTTTCAAGCTTATTTTTCTAAGATTAAATTGGTTGCTGAAGTTGGAATGTTTCATGCAGGAAGCTTTTCGTAAATTTATTGGTCAGCCAGTTTCAATCTTTTGTTCAAGTCGAACTGTAAGTCAATTTTTTGTTCATTTTTGGAAAAACTTAATATTGTAATTTTTTTTCTTCATGATGTATCATTAACTATACAATTTGATATAATAGTTTCCTACCTGACACAATCTGATCCTCCCTCCCACCACCAGCACCACACACGCACACACACATAAATAAATAAATAAATAACTAAAATCCACCTCCACCCAAATGACACAATCTGATGTTCTTTGATTTGCCAGTAGTTGACTGGTTGAGAAATGTAGCTAGAATTCACGAACTTAGTTTCTTTTGTGGATTCAAGTAATTGTTTGAAAGAAACATGTTTTTCTTAGATGAAAATGTCATGGTGATTATCAGGAGATGTATGCTAGTATCGTACTGATCTACTGTAGTCACCTAATTGAGAAAAAAAATCTGTGGAACTTTGTGGACCAGAACTATGCTTCTCATTGATGACGGTCTTCTGAATTTTTGTTGTGTAGATGTATAAATAATGGATGTATTGAAATTGTGCATATAAAAAATTCACTTTAACTCAAAAAATTTCCCTTGAATGGACACAGATATCGTATTACTTAGAAAACAATACACCTGAGTACATAAAAAGTTGAAAAATGTCATTGAGCTACAAGAATTTTTAAAACTATTCTGTCTTAATTCAATGTTGATTGGTATGCGGGCACACTATCAGAATTATATTATAGTTTCAGATTTTGCCCAGATATTTCAGAATCTAGTGGTCTTTTCCTGACTTAAGTAAAGGTTGGCATAGAAACAAGATGGATGAAATTTGATCCCAAGAATCAATATACCTAAAGCTGACCAATTTTTATATTATTTGTTATGATGTTATCTATAATGAATTTGTTATGATGTTATCTATAATGAAGTACACATTAAAAGGATAGTTGCTTATAATTTTAGACTTAGATTCACAAAGTGTTGAAGTGCTTTGGGATTTTAGATGCCTTATCAAGATGGACAGAAATTCCGAAAATGATTATGATGGTAAAGAAATGTTTTGGCTCAAGTGGGTAAGTCACTTGACCCTGGTGCCTCCTGAAGTATAGGTCTAAGGTTCGACTTGTCATACGTGCAAATAATTCCTTGGGGGGGGGGGGGGGGGGGGTTGATGAGTGATTCCCTATAAAATTCATGATAAGGCATGTGTGTGTCCACAAGAAGCTAGGCACTAATTGAGGTATTTAACAAAGATTATTGTACCAATAAGTGAAGTGGTTTGATCAAGTTGAAAGAGCCACAAGGATAAGATGTAGATTAGAGTTGAAATATTTATAAAGGGCATGTCGGCTTATGATTTGAAATGTTTCCCTTGTACACTACACGACCTTGGCCTGTGGATTGAATAATAAGGTTCTTGAGACTCATAGATTTGAATGCAAGGCAGTGTATATTAGTCAGTGCCTGATCGTGTGGCATTATGTCTGATGATATATTGAAAGGCACTTTGTTCAGTTAAATCTTAGATTTGTTTCATACAACCCATGTTCAAGTTAGCTGCTGGGAATTGGTTTTCTTCCTATTCTTTCATGCTCTCTTATTTATTATTATTATTGTTATTGTTTTTGATAAGTAAATATTTATTAGAAAACCTTCAAGAGGGGAATGCATCTCAAAAGCTACACAAAGGCCGAAGCCAAAGAAACCTAAGGACTCAAGGAGCCCAAAAAATCAACTAACTCTATAGATTTCCAATTTCTCCCCCAAACCCCCAAACCCCCAAACCCCCAAAAAAAGACAGCTAACAATAAGAAACTTTAATGCCCTAAAAGAAGATCCGCTCCTTCCAAATGCACCAACAAACACAAAAGGGTGCCACCCTCAAAAAATCATGGGCGTGGGGCCCCATGAGGCATCCTCTCCAAGCATCAATCAATCCTCTCGTAGACCTAGGTATAACCCGCTGGACACCAAACAAGCCAAAAATAGGACACCAACAGTCGTGAGCCGCAGGGCAATGCAAAAGAAGGTAATGACTCCCCATCCATTTTACTCATGCAACACCCATTAACAGTAACCTGTCTTCTCATTCTCGGGTTATTAAGCGTCAAAACCTTGCCCCACATTGCGCCCAAACAAAGAAGGCCACTTTGAGGGGGGCCTTCGAATGCCAAACCACCTTCTAGGGGAGTTGGTCCCTGAAAAACCGGATAGACAACAAAACAGAGAATGGACATCAAATCTACCCTTGAAGGAGGGCATCCAAATGAGAGAATCCAACCCTCCACCGTCTAGCTCCTTTCTATATAAAAAATCCAAAAAGGCAGAAACATCATCCAATTCGCAGTCCTGAAAATGTCTCTGAAATTGCACATCCCAAATAATCCTCCCATTATGAAGACGATAACAGTCGGCTACCAAGGCGTGTCTATCGGCTGCAATCCTGAAAACCTTGGGAAAGGAACAAGCAATAGAACGGTCTCCGCACCAAAGGTCCTCCCAAAAAGGGTACTCTAGCCGTCACGAACTCTGAATCTAATGTGATTTTTAAATTCATTCCAACCCTTCCGATGAATTTCCAAATGCCATCACCTCTTGCTGAACTAACTGCTCCCCTCCTCCCCCAAAGCAGCACAAAATGACTCTCCTCCATAATCTATGACGCTCACCTCTAAATCTCCTTAACCACTTGGCAAGAGCCCTATGAAGGGCAACAACCTCCTAATTCCAAACCACCTAGTTGAATGGGCTTGCACACCTGCTCCCAGAGAACAAGATGAAACTTGAACTCCTCTCTCATGCCACCCCATAGGAAATTCCGTTGCAACCTCTCAATGCTTCCGGCCGCTGAGGAAGGGATCTGAAAGAGAGAGAGAGAGAAAATATGTAGGAAGGCTCGACAAAGTGCTTTTCATAAGCATAACTTTCCCTCCCTTCAATAGATACCGCTTCTTCTATCCAGTAAGTCTTCTCTCAAACCGCATAATCACAGGATCCCAATCCCCCACCCTCATCAATGGGCTGCCTGAAGGCAAACTTAGTTAAGAAATGGGAAATGATCCAACCTTGTTTTTGGTAGTCCAGAACTATATGATGCACACCACCTTGCTGGAGTATGGGTGTGTTTGATCCTCTATACTCATGGCTTTGCAAGCGAGCCACCATGATTTATTGGAGGTCAGGGCTTATGTTTAATAAGTGGAATTTAAATAAAATTTAATCAGGATGGTTAAGTAATCGATTCATTGAGCTTAAGGAAGTTGTTGTAACTTGGTGGAAACCTAGTGAAGTTTATCGAGATGGTTAACTAATTAATGGTTTGTAATTGAGAAATTTATGTTCTAACATAATAATTAATGAGGTATTAATTATTATATTAGGTTGAAATATACTAATTATTTTGTAACGAAATGAGATATAATAATTATGAGATAATTATTAGGGTAAATTACACAGACACTCCTTTAGGTTAGGTCAAATCTCATATAAATGAACATTTTGGTTTTAACTTGCACTCATATTTTGAAGAGTTGATTCGTGTTTCACTCACACCCCAAAAGTCATTTTTTAATGGTGTCAGAGCATTTTTTATATGTAAAATGACAATACTACCCTTTTGACTTTGTGTTGACTTTGTTTTATATATAAAATGACTAAACTACCCCAAGAAACCATTTTAAATGACTAAAGTATCCTAAAATTTAATAGCTTAGGAATTTAGGATATTTATTGGCAAAAATTTTCCGTGGCTGTATATAATAGGAATTTAGAATATAGATTAAACGATAATTTAATAAAAAGCCTTTGAATTCCATTCTAAATGTGTCCAGAATATATATATATATATATACACATACACATATCTAGAGCTAACGGAAGGGACATATATGCATATGTGTATGTAGACACACACACACACACACACACACATATACATATGGAAAGAACACTAGATCCTCCACAATCAAAGATACATATGCAAAGAAAATATGATCTCAAAAATCAAAGAAGCCTGTGTGTATGTATATGTGTATATATGTAGATATATATGACCCTGTGGTAGACTAGTGAGATTGAAATGGGCATCAATATTCTCATCCCCTTCTTTTCAATGCCCAGCCATCAGGTTCCCATTCAAGATCAAAGACCAATAACTAGACCACTGTGGCTATCCCAGGTTCGTTCTCTCTTGCAACAACAAGAAACTAACGGTGCTGGAACTTCCCTTTTCAATGAAGGTATTGATCAAGAAATTTGATTACACATCTCAACTCATACATATATTTGATGTTAATGATGATACAAATCGAAGCTGCTTCCAAGGCAGCTGCCTAAGCTTTGGCCGGAATCCATGGTGGGTGACGGTTTTATTACGCAAATAATGCATGTTTAAGATGGAAGAGGAAAACTTCAAGTGGGTTTTTACCGGAGTCTATGGACCGGTTGTTGATGATGTTCGACCTATCTTTTGGGAGGAGCTTTGCCATGTCCAAGGACTGTGGTCTTTCCCTTGGTGCCTGGGAGGGAATTTCAATGCTATTAGGTCCCCGTCAGAGAGGTCTATAGGGGGAAGAAGATCTCTAGAAATGGATTAATTTTCTGATTTTATTAATGAGCATCTTCTTGTTGATTTTCCAATGGAAGGAGCAGCTTATTCTTGGTCCAATGGTAGGGATCCAATCACTCTATCAAGGCTGGACAGATTTTTAATTTCTGGGGATTGGGAAGAGAAATTCCCAGATGTTGTTCAAGCGGTGTTAGAAAGGGTCACTTCTGACCATGTGCCTTTGGTTTTGGATTGCGGGGGTTTATGTTCTCAAAGATCCCTGTTTAGATTCGAGAATATGTGGCTGCGTGCGGATGATTTCCAAGGAAAAGTCAGTTCTTGGTGGGAAGGAGTCACTTCTTCAGGTTCGCCCAGTTTCACAATTACAAAGAAGTTGAGGGCTCTCAAATTAGCTCTTAAGCAGTGGAACAAGGATGTCTTCAGGAATTTGGAATGGAGGAAGAATAGAGTACTTGCTGAATTTTCAGAGATTGATCGTCTTGAG